TCTGTTTTGAAGCTGAGAATTCCCTTCACCCGTCTCCCCTTCCCTGCGGAGCACAGGGCACTCGCTGAGCACTGCTTGGTGCTTCAGTGCTCACATTCATCCCCTTTTCTCTAGGCTGCTTTCCCTTACTACAAAGGCTGGGAAACCAAACACCCTGTCTTCCAGTTCCTTCATAGTCTAGGTTCCAGTGTGATTTAAGTGTGGCCAACCAGAGGGCTGAGGGGCACTGGGAAGGCAGAGCTGTGCACAGAGGGTGCCAGCTGGGGCTGTTGTCCGCTGGCACAGCCTGATGTGGGCCCCAGCCTCCCGGCATGTCAATACTCTGTGATGTTGGTCAGCAGCTCCCAGGGTCAAGGCGTGGGCTCCGGGCAGGCCAAGCTCGCTGGTGCCCACTCTACAGAGGCAGTGTGGCTCTAAGGGCAGCAGCTGAGTCCTGGGTGGCTTGAGTCCCACCTTACTGCTCAGGCCTGGTTTCTGGAAGTTTGGTTCCAGCAGCTGTTTGCTCACACCATGTCCTTGGTTATGGCAGAGGCTGCTGCTCCCTTGGACGCCGATTCTTTGATGCTGTGGGAAAACAAATTTGCTTCTCCCGCCTTTTCATTCTTTTTTTTTTTCCTTTTTGAGACAGGGTCTTGCTATGTAGTCCAAGGCTGGCCTTGAACTCACGTTGTAGCCCAGGCTTGTCTTAAACTAGCAATGATCCTCCTGCCTCAGCCTCCCCAGTGCTGGGGTTACAGGTGTGCACCACCATGCTGGGCTTTCACTGTTTCATATCACCTAACTCTCTACAATTCTTAAACTCTCTTCCTGTTCAAAATAAGGTGGCTTTGGTTTGGGAACACTGACCCTGCTGAGGTGAGCGGAAGCTGCTGGGCATCAAGGCCTCAAGTTCTGTTCTCTGGCCTTTGCTTCCACTGCAGGGACTGAGGAGAATATCGCCAAGAAACCTGGGGAATTGCACTGTGGCTCACCCTGCTTTTAAAGTATGTTTCTGAGCCCCCACCATGCTGCAGTCTAGTGAGTGTGTGGTGGGTGATTTTTCATATCGTTTGCTAGAAATCAAGGCCATACCCTCCATTCAGCCAGCGTTTACCTAGCAGATGACAGTGAGGCAGTTCAGGGTGATCAGGAAGGACCCCATGAACACTAGTGCAAGATGGGTTTCCTGGTCCCAAGACCCAGCCTATGGCGGACCTGATGCTGGTGGCTGAGGACCCACAAACTCACGGCACCCATGTTTTGCTCAGCTCCTTCGCAACCTTCCTTGCATCTGAGGCCCAGCTGCTGTGTGTTCCCAGACACTACTCTCACTTTAGCGTAAGAAGCACTAGATTTATTTGGTTTCACAGAGTGGATCTGAAACAATGCATAGTCTATGTAGGGATGCCCTTCCATGGCTGTTCTTGGAGTCCTTGGAGTCTCAGAGCCCTTCCCATGAATCTCCAGAGCACCAGCGCTCTGAGTGATATCTGGTTAGACCAGCACAGGGTTTCTTGCAAGTGTACATTTCCCCCCAACAACTGGATTTTTACAAAAAGTACTTGGGGAGCCTACAAATTCGACTTATAACTGACAAAATTAACATCAGAATTTTGTTTCCAGAAAGTCCCAGCAGGAATTCTTCCCTTTCCCTGCCATAGGAACCCTTAACTCTCGTTGCAGGACTGAGAATGCTCTAAGAACTGAAAAATAAATCAGAGACATCTAAGTATTCCAATTCCTCTGTAAAGCCTACCGCAGAATTCCATTACACAGGAAAAGGAGTTCCACATTCCTTGTCTATAGAAGCCATTGCTTTTGCTACCCTCAGAGCTGTCTTTCAGGAGACAGCTAACAAACTCTCAGGGTGCACAGGTCTCATTTTTTCCCTGGAGAATCTGCAAAAACAGATATTTTAGGAGAATTTTCACGTTATGAAGAGTGTAATCACTGGGCAAGGTGCTACATGCCTGTAATCCCAGCACTCAGGAAGCTGAGGCAGGAGGATCGTTGCAAGTTCAAGACAAGCCTGGGTTACAAAGTGAGTTCAAGGCCAGCCTGCGCTGCATAGTGAGACCCTGTTTCAAAAAGATTAAAAAAAAAAAAGGAATTAGCTAATTTATAATAATAATCAGTCAAACATAGTGTCACCCACCTCTAATCCCAGCACTCTGGAGGAGGAGGCAGGAGGTTCACAGCAAGTTTGAGGCCAGCCTGGGCTACAAATGTAGTGAGTTTAAAGCTAGCCTGAACTGGGTGGCAAGACCCTGTCTGAAACAAAAACAAAAGAAAACAAAAAATCAGAGCAATATTTTTAAAAGGGGAGTGTAAGGCCTCTTTCTCAGAAACATGGGTGATCATTTTAGGTTGGGCTATGTTAAGTGTTCTGTAGGTACCCAGTTCCCTGGTGGTCTGTGCCCCGTATCTTGCTTCTGGAACTGCTTATCACATCTGTGAGGATTATTTGGCTGTTAGCACGAGTAGACTGTGGGTAATAGTACTGTAAGATGGTTCCTAGATAAGGCTGCCCAGCGGACAAATGCTGACTCTTTGATGTAACTATGTCAACCATGGCAGCCTCCGCTTATTCGTCTGTAGGAGATAACAGTCCTACACACCTCAAATAGCTTTGTAAGAATTAGTCAAATAAGCAGATAGTAGGAACTAGCTGTAGATTTTTACTTACAATTTTATTTGTGATTTACTTTTCCTCCCTTTCTCACAAGACTTAATAGCAATCATTAAAGAGATAAAGCCCCGGTGCCCATTGCCCCAGAATCTACTACTTGAAGCTACTGAGGAAAATAGGAAGTGACTGCATTATGCAGCAAATACTTTAAAAAGTTGTTAAAATAAAAGGCACAGTGCCATTAATCTTCAAAATATGCCCCCATACCTTATTTTAAATTATTATTATTATTATTATTATTATTTTGGTTTTATTCTTTTTGAGGCAGTTCAGACGAGGCTTGAACTTGCGAGGATCCTCCTGCCTCAGCCTCCTGATGCTAGAATTACAGGTGAGCCCAAGGCTGCCCTGGAACTCACAGCGAGCCTCCTGCCTCCGCCTCCCAAGTGCTGGGATTACAGGCGTGCACCACCATTCTTAGTGATCCACCATATTTTTGATCATAGCTTGTTAAGATACTCACAAAAGAGGACTCCTGAACCGCACCAGAAAGTGGCAAGACCACGAGATATGTGTGTTCAAAGCAAGGTGGACTGTTTTTGAGGATTGGTAACATTGTGTCTTTTACTGTAATAAATGGCTAAAATAGTTACCATATATTCCCATCACCCCTTGAGAGCTGTTTCCTCAGGAACGTTTGTCAGTCACAGTGTCTGCCCTGGAGATGTTCAACTTGGTGTCAGCCGCATCTTGGCGGAAGCAGATCTGTGACGACGTAAGGGGCGCGGAGGGGTACTGGGGCGGAGTGCTAGAAGGACAAGAGGGAGAGGAGGCCGCCCTGGGCCGCAGCTGCGGCTCACCCCGCTCTCGCGGAATCGCGGACTGCTGCTGGGAAGCCCCGCTGCGGCTGCGTGGCGCTGGTGTCCGGCTGTGCTGCTGTCTGGGGGCTCCCTGGGGCGGTGAGGCGCCAGCGCCAACCAGGAGGCACTGTGCGGGCTCGGGGCTCGGGCTCCCCACGCGGCACGGCTTCCTCCCCCAGCCCAAGCCCTTCCAACTTTCCTACTGCGCAGATGCCGCCTCTCTGGCCTTGGGCGCTCCCCTCTTGGCTTCTGGAAACTCTCGTTCTTGGGCCCTGTGGCCCTGGCGGCCTCGGTCTCCTAGGTCAGGATGGCACTTCTCCTGGCACGGTCACAACCGGACGGGGCTCCAGGAGGCGCCCCAGGGACCCCGAGTCCTGTAAGCGCTCCTCCTTGGCCCAGTCGTGTGCCAGCAGTCCCGCCTTCTACCGGCCTGGGTCACATACCCCAGGAGGGCCAGACCTGCGCGCATCCTTGCCGCTGGCCCTGGTCATTAGGAGTCTGAAGAAAGCGCCACGTCTCATAAGGGATCATCTCAGATGACATTAGGCAGAACCACCGCCCGTCTACAACGGGACCCACTAATTCCTCCTCTAGAGACCCAGAGCTGTAGGGAGGTGCCTGGGTCAGTGTATAGACTGTGCTCTGTTGGGTGGCAGCTGTCTCTAAGGGCAGAACATTGCCCTCAGCAGCTCGCCTTGTTACTCCACACCGGAGCAGGGCTGGCAGGGTGTGACGTGAGCCGGGGTCTTCTGGGTCCTTTCCTGGGCCCGAGATGGTCGTTAAAACTGCAGCCAGGTCACACACACAATCACCAGGGCGAACACCGATTCTATGCAATGTCCTCTATTACTAAGCGACAATGTATGGCAACTTAGGTGTATCCAGTGCTTATGATATTTTCAATTTAAGATAAATTCATGAGGTTGTAGCCCCATTTTAAATAGAGCAGCATGTACCTACTTATTTAGAATTTCATGACTGGATATATAGCGTACCCTCCAGATATGGTCAAAGGCCCACCTAGTTTTCCTCCAACAATGCCTAACAGAAAGAGCTCATTAATTTTATTCTGGCAGATCCTGTAAAAATTAAATTAAAGAGTGTGATTGGATCAGACAGCGAGAAAATAAGCCTTCATGTGTCTCTCACCTGACTTCTGACAAAGATGAGGGGGTTGCACTGACAGATGAGCCTGGTAGTAAGCACTGCTGGCCAACTGGAAATCCAGATGGAAAAATATCTTGGTCCTTCTTTACATTTTACTAAATAATTAAATTCAGATCAATTGTTGATCTCATTGTGGAAAGGTAAAGCAATGAAGCTTCAGGAAAAAAGTACTGAAGATCCTTTTTATTGACAGCTTGGAGTAGACAATTTCTTAGAAAGATCATATAGTACTCCCCAAAGAGAAAAATATTTATACTAAAATTAAGAACTTGTGTTTATCACACAAACAAAAAGCATGAAATGTGAAAAGGCAAGCTGGAGTCTAGAAGAAAAAATTTGCAATGGCACATGCTCCACAGAGCACTCGTCTAACCTATTTTCTTCCAAATAAAAAGGCGGGCAACACAACACGAAGAGTAAAAGGCGAAAGCTTTTCGCAGTCCCTGCACAAAAAGGAGACATCATTGGGCTCAGTTTGTTTTCAAATTTGAGTTTTGCTGCTCTTTTTCACTGTATTCCATTGTTTGATTGACTAAGATATTTACATATTTATCAGAGGAAAATTTATAGTCAGGGAAGTGTCGATTCCATTCCTGTCCTCTTTGCTCTTCTTTGTCCCCCTTTTAGCTTTCTCCACTAGTGCCCCTATTATTAGTCTTTATACTTTATACCTGGTGTTTTAAAAAATATATAAGCAAAGAATACATATAGATATATTTATTCTCCTTTCTTACACAAAACACACCATATGTACAGAGTCCACCAAAAAACTGTATACACGCTTAAGGAAAAGAGCAACAGCATGATGTTTTCTAGCAGATACTGTTACTCCCATATGGGGGACCCTTACAGGATGCCACATATCACTGCCAGCCCTTAGAAAGACATTGAAAGTGCACATGTAGCAATCTCAATGACCAAGGTCACCCAAACGATAGTGTGCCTCGCTGATAGCTGTCTAGAAGCTGATGTCCAGCACTTGGAGTACCTCTTGTAGCTCTGCAGCTGCCCAGGCCAAAAGTAACTGGTGCTAATCTCATGGTGCCTGGGCTGGCCAAGTAACTCAGCGGATTAAAGCACCTGCAAGCGGCTCAAGGGCTGGAGGTTCGATCCCCAGCACTGCCATGCTGCCACCCCCCCCCCCAGGGCACACTGAAACAGCAATTGAGATTGGGCGTGGTGGTGCACACCCCTGTAATCTCAGATCTTGGGAGGCTGTAAACAGGCAGATCACAACGAGTCTGATCTAGTACTGAGACCCTGAACACCCTGCAGACCCTTCCCTAAAAATAAAAATAAATAAATAAAATCTCATGGTGTCTCAAAAAGGTAGTATCAAAACTTTGATACAAATTTCTTTTCTTGAAGTATGTCTACATATTTTTAGTGAACTATTTCTTTTCAGCTGTTTCTTTTCTTTCTCTTTTCCTTCTTCTTTTTTTTTTTTTTTATATTTTAGGAAAGGATCTACAGGGTGTTCAGGGTCTCAGTACTAGATCAGACTCGTAGTGATTCTCCTGTTTACAGCCTCCCAAGTGCTGGAATTACAGGCATGTGCCACCATGCCCAGTCTCAATTGCCATCTCAGGGCACCCCGGGGCAGGGCCAGCAGGGCAGTCCAGGGGGAACCCTGGCCCCTGTACCTGCTTGCAGGTGCTTTAATCCACTGAGCTATTTGGCCAGCCCTATTTCTATTATTCTCTCTCTCTCTCTCTCTCTCTCTCTCTCTCTCTCTCTCTCTCTCTCCCTCTCCCCCTCCCTCCCCCTCTCCTTCTCCTTCTCCTTTCCCTCTCTAGTATATTAATTTTCTCCACCTAGTATATTATGGAGTTTATTCCATGTTCTTTCAAAAAATGCTCTATGTAGTTCATTCACCAGATCCTTATTGATGACCATTTGGGTTGTTTCCAGTATTTTGCCTCAATGAGTGAGAGGACAGTGAGAACCCCTAGACCTGTACTGCTTCATGTTAATGGATGTGAATCAAGATGCAGTCAGTCCCAGGAGTGGGGTTCCTGGGCAAAGGTTGCATGTAATTGCTCAGCTCTGCTAGCTTACCTCTAGGACTGTTTCATTTTGGTCTCTGAAGTGTGTGCATCTCCATGGCTCCACTAATGCATTTTTGTCAAAGGTGGATTTTTGCTAGCCCAAGTGAGGAGTAATAATTGTAGTAAGATTTTATTTTTCTGTTTTAATATGATGAAAGAGTTTAGCTATCTATTCATATATTCAAGGACTGCTTGATTTGATTTGATTTATTTTTTAATAAGCTGCCTATTCTAGTTTTTTCCCTATTTTTCCATTAGCTTTATCCTCCTGCTACATTTTAAGAACTCTTTATAGAAGAGTACTACAAATTGTTAGCTTTGTTTTTCTTATTGGGCATTTGTATTTTGACTTTCTTACATGTTTATATGAAAGTACTTTACAGGGGCCAGTGAGATAGCTCAATGGACTAAAGCACTTGCTTAGGCAAGTTTAGGCAAGCACAGGGGCTGCAGTTAGATCCCCTGCACTGGGGTTCTATTCCAGGCACCACGTGCCAGCCCCGCCCCCAGGTGGCCAGAGTCCAGGTGTGGTGGTGCACACCTGTAATCCCAGTGCTGGAAAGGCTGAAAACAGGAAGATCACTATCAGTCTGAGCTGCATAGTGAGACCCTGTTAACAACAAAATACATTAAAAAAATTTTTTTATAAAGTACTTTGTAACTTCTTTTAATGTAACAAAATTCCTCAATATTTATTGTTTCTGGATTAGGGATTATTTGAAAAATTCCCCTCTATTCTTAGATCATAAATGAATTTATTTCTATTTTTCTTTAATTTTTGTATGTTTCTTTCTTAGCATATCATTAATAAAAGTTAATTAAGTTAAAATAAATTAAAATTTATATGGATGAAGGACATAGATATAGATCTAATTTACTTTTTAAAAAATGGTTCTCCATTTGTTTCATTTTAAGTATGAAAATGTCCCTCCTCTTTATCCCTGCCCCTTAGATCTAGTGATTTGAGATATTGTCCTGATACGTAGTGTGAGTTGCAATTATTCAGGTTTAGCTTTGTGTCTTTCACAAGTACTTTCAATTTTCCTTTAAACGAGTTTCTTGTATTTCTTGCTGCTCTTTTTCCCACAACTGTTTTAATAATCTTTTTTTTTTATTTTCTTTCTTTCTTTTAAAAAATTTATTTAGTCCGCCTTTGGCGCGCGCCGGCCGGGAAGGCACCTCCCGCAGTCGCTCGGAACTGCCCATCTGGAGCTGTCCGCAGAGGGCCTGCGGTGGGAACCGAGTGGGTCAGGCGGGGCTGAGCCAGGCCGTGGGCCGTGCGGGGCCGGGCTGGTGGACAGCGGGATGGGGTGCACCGTGAGCGCCGAAGACAAGGCGGCAGCTGAGTGCTCCAAGATGATCGACAAGAACCTGCGGGAGGACGGCGAGAAGGCAGCACAGGGGGTGAACTTGCTTCTGTTAGGTGCTGGCAAGTCAGGAAAGAGCACCATCGTCAAACAGATGAAGATCATCCGTGAAGATGGCTATTCAGAGGAGGAGTGCCGGCAGTACCGGGCGGTTGTCTACAGCAACACCATCCAGTCCATCATGGCCACTGTCAAGGCTATGAGCAACCTGCAGATTGACTTTGCTGACCCTCACCGTGCGGATGACGCCAGGCAGCTGTTTGCACGGTCTTACACTGCTGAGGAGCAAGGCATGCTTCCTGAGGGCCTTTCCAGAATTATCCGGAGGCTCTGGGCTGACCATGGTGTGCAGGTCTGCTTCAGCTGCTCAAGAGAATACCAGCTCAACGATTCAGCTGCCTACTACCTGAATGACCTGGAGTGGATTGCACGGAGTGACTACATGCCTACACAGCAGGATGTGCTGCAGACCTGTGTGAAGACCACGGGTATTGTGGAAACACACTTTACCTTCAAGGACCTACACTTCAAGATGTTTGACATGGGTGGTCAGCGGTCTGAGCGAAAGAAGTGGATCCATTGCTTTGAGGGCATCACAGCCATCCTCTTCTGTGTAGCTTTGAGCACTTACGACTTGGTGCTAGCTGAGGATGAGGAGATGAACCGCATGCATGAGAGCATGAAGCTGTTTGACAGCATCTGTAACAACAAATGGCTCATGGACATGCCCATCATCCTCTTCCTCAACAAGAAGGACCTGTTTGAGGAAAAGATCACACACAGCCCACTGACCATCTGCTTCCCAGAGTACAAAGGAGCCAACAAGTATGATGAGGCAGCCAGCTACATCCAGAGTAAGTTTGAGGACCTGAATAAACACAAAGACACCGAGGAGATCTACACACACTTTACGTGTGCCACCGACATGAAGAACGTGCAGTTTGTGTTTGATGCCGTCACCGATGTCATCATGAAGAACAACCTGAAGGACTGCGGCCTCCTCTGAGGGGGAGTGGGCCTGGCAGGATGGGCCACTGCTGACTACTCCGCCAGCCCCTGAGGAAGATGGGGCCAAGAAGACCACGCTCCCTGCCTGTCCCCCTGGCCGCTTCTCCCCTCTGTCCTCTTTGTTCTCAGCTTTCCTGGTCCTTTCCTCAGCTTCAGACTCAGGGGAGGGGTGGCCACAAGCCTCAGTTTGAAGCCTGCCTCTATCAGAGTGCCAGGAGTAGCCATGGTGCCTCTTCCTGGGCATCTGTTCTAGTTTTTTGATCGTTGTCTTATTCTGTGTGGGGGGGGGAGCACATGCTGAGTCTCCAAGGCCTGTGTCTGGAGGGGCACCCACTTCTCCAGCCTGGACCCCTGGCTTTGCCCAGCACCAGCCCTGACCCAGCCCAAGTCCAAATGTTTACAGGGAGCCTCCTGCCCTTCCTGCCCCCACTACCACTCAGAGGCCCCAAAGGAAAAAGCACAAGAAGTATGAGACACCACCATTCCAGGAGACCACAAGTCCACCTGCTCATTCTCATAGCTTTTTATAAAAATGAAAGTAAAGGGAAAAAATTGTTTTTAGTGCAGGGTCTCACTATGTAGATTGAACTCATAGTGATCCTTCTATTTTCAGCCTCCCAAGCACTGAGATTACAGGTACCTGCACCATCATGCCCACTCTCAGTTGCTGTCTGAACATGCCCAAGGGGTGGGGCTGGCATGGCAATCTGGGAACTGAACCCCAGTCCCTGCACCTGCCTAAGCAGGTGCTTTAGTCTGCTGAGCTATCCAGCCAACACTTATGACCTTTTTGAGTTATTGTAAATGGGCTCCTCTCTAACTTTCTGACATTTGTGCATAGGACAGTTATTCATCATTTAGTTCCATATTACATTTACATTTTGTTGTTTCACTGAACTTTTTGTTGGTATTATAGAATTTTTCATGACTGCATGGAATTGCATTATATAGAAATATCATAAATTAATTAATCAATCCCTTGATGTTGGGCATTTAATTGCATGGGTGTACTTTTTTTTTTTTTTATTTGTTTGTTATTTTGAGAAAAAGTCCACTATGCAGTGAGCTTTGCTACTACTGGGATTACAGTTGTGTGTGTGACCACCTGGATTTTTCCCATTATTAATAGTAGGGTATGAACATACCTGCAACAAAATAACATATAATAATAAATAACTAAATAATCCTTGCACATGTGTACCATTTTTTCCACCATTAACAAGAATACATGAAATTTCATAACTAAATATTTTTTAGTTCTTTGGTTGCTTCTCATGACAACTCTTTAGAAGCAAATTTGCAGGTTTGATGGGCATGTATAATGGAAAAGTCTTTTTCAAATATATATTGAGAAATTGCCCCAGTGAAGGCTTCTATCCATTTTTATTTTGAGAAGGTAGAATTTAATTGTAATGAGGCAAACAAAATGTCAGACCCATTACAAACCCACTGCAATAGTTTTCAAGTTATTTAGCCATAGTACTCTCTGCATAAAGGAAAATTTGTGTATTGGGTTGAATTATATGAAATTGCTATATTTACAGGTAAAATGGCCAAATGTCAGAAATTTCTTATGGTCCATCCTTGTGTTTCTGGGTTTTGGAGGGTTGGGGACTCTGTAGAGATTTTTTTAAGGTTCTTCTTGTCCTGGACAAAGAACTGGATGAAACAAGGACAAAAGATGCCAAGATTTCACATTTATTAAAGATAGAAAAAGAAAACTAATATGCTCTTTAGAGCAAGTGCTGATCAATTAAGGTGAAGAAAAAACTGCACCCTGCAAAGCACAGGTTGACCCCCAAGAGCAAGCAGCTTATGGCAGCTGTCTTTTATATCTTCCATTCCTCAGGCTAATGTCGGGTTTAGGTTCTCCTAGGGAAAAATGGGGAGAAAAGAAGAAGCAAGATATATCATGTACAGATACAAATTCTATGATGAATGGCATCACTGTGTAAGTCTAAAACATATCAATAAAGAAATCTGATCAAGTTTTTATGAGAAGATCTGAAAGCTAGTACTGTCTGATTGGTTCCAGGCGCAGGGCTTTTGGACATGTTCTTGCATGTGACATTCATCTCCAGCTAGCTTGCCATTCCATAATCTTCTCCTTCTCTAGCAAAAGTCTACCAAGAAAACTGGAGCTTCTGTGGTTAACTGTGGCTTTAGGGTATTGGAAAAGACTCAGATAAATTCTTGAGAGCAGCTATGTAGGCACAAAGCCCTGCACAGACAGCAAAGTATTGAGTAGGACAGAAGAAAGAGGAAAGTAAAAAAGAGGCAAGAAAAAGATCATAATTTATAAATCATACTTTTAAGAAGACTGCAGCTGAAGAATCAATCCAAGTTACCTGGTGTTGCCAGGCACAGTGGCCCACACCCGTAATCTCAGCCCTTTGGCACACTGAGGTAGGATGATTGCAACAAGACTCCCAGAAAGATGGGGAATGGTGAAAGCAGGGGAAGAGCCCTCCCAAGATTTGGTGTCCATGTGCCAGAATATAGCAAAATGAGGAAGAGAAAGAAAAGAAGTGGGTTCCTGGGGCCCAGAAAGGATCTGAAGTGGGAGTTGAAGCCCATGTCTCCTGAGCAAAGAGAGAGATTTCAGGGGAGAAGGAGATGGCAGGCAGTGATTTCTCCCTAAGCTCAGGCTCAGCAATAGGATGGGTGGCTTGATCTTGCAGTCAGTGATCATGAAAATGAAGATTTAAGGGACTAGGGAGATAGCACAGTGATCTAAGTGCCTGCCTGGCAAGTGCAAGGACCCAGGTTCGCTCTCCACTCCCACATCTGGTGTTCAGAACTTTGGGAGCACTAGTGCAGGCAATGAAAACAGGGCATGGTGGCGAATGCCTATAATCCCAGCACTGGAGAGGCTGAGACAGGAGGATCTCTATGAGTCCAAGCTGCATGAGACCTTATACCAAATAAATAAACAAAAGATTTAAAAAGAGAAAGATTTAAAATAGCAAGGGGGCATCAGAAATCAATCCAACAAATGCTAGGTGATGCAAAGAATAATAACATATGATTGATTTGAGTAAATGAAAAAGCAGAAAACAAAGCAAATGACATTAAAAAGAAACTGTTCACAGAAGCAATGGCAGAAAGCTTCCTAAGCCAGGAAAAAGAATCTGACATAAGTGAGGCATATAGAACCCCAATTAGCCATAATGAAGACTAGACTGACCATATGTCAAAAAACAAAACAAAATAAAAAGTTACAAAACAAAAGAAAAAGTTATCCATACATGTCTGTACTCCTTAGGATTACTTATGCTTCTTCTCTTCCAGATCCAACACACTCCAAATCCTGTAAAGATATACGGCTATAAATTAACTTACTTGATAAAGTAAAGTGTGGAAATCTGACCTTAAGAGAAAGAGATTTAAGGTTTCAAAGATTTTTAGGCAGACAACATAGGTGACAGGTTTTTTTTTTAGACAAGGTCTTTCTATGTACTTTACTACATAGTCCAGGCTGCCCTTGAACTGACAATGATCCTCCTGCCTCAACCCTCTAGTGCTGGAATTGATAATAGAAATGTACCATTACTCCTGGTGTTAGGAGACACAGTTTAAAGAAAGATACAAGTGAAGAACACCAAGGAGACCTGGTAGGCTAGCCCTCCCACCCTAGCCACCCTGACAGAGTGTTGCTATGCCTGGATGACCCTCCTCACTTTGAAGACTGCTAGGGAGCCCCTATCACGCGACCTGAAGGAGCCTTGAGGAGCCCTACTCTTCACCAACCCATCATCAAGAGAGCCTTGCAGAACTTTGACCTGCACTCTTCATTACTGGATCCTTCTTGAGCTATGGATTGCACTCCTCCCTTCATTGAGGTGGAAGCCACATTGAACCCTGCACAACAGGAGCTTTGTTAAACCTACCTTGCCTTCCCACTCTCCTGAGAACCTGCACCTTGACCAGAGTCAAGGACATTGGGGCTCTAAAAAATGACAAAAATAAAAGAACAAAAGGCAATCTCAGACCGCCAGCCCACCCAAAACAAGTCCAGGAGACAAGGTCATAGAAGAACTTGGAAGTCACACACCTGAAATTTCAGAGCTGATAGCAACTGAAGTAAAGAAATGACTCCATCAGGCTATGGAGGAAATCAGATCAGAAATAATCTCTCAAGCAAAAAAGGAAATGACAACAATTATGAAAGAATTGCTCAATTCATCTAAAGAAGACAGATTTAAAAAACAGAAGGACCAGGGAGATAGCTCAGCAGTCTAAGTACCTGTCCAACAAGATCAAACCAAGTTTGATCCCTGTGCCCCCTGAGCTGGCCACTGAAACCAGGCATGGTGGCACATGCCTGTAATCCCAGTGCTGAGGAGGCTGAAACTGGAGGGTTGCTATGAGTCCAAGCTGTGTAGTGAGACCCTGTACCAAATACATAAATTTAAAAGAAAAAATACAAGGGAATAGAGAAATGATGGAAACATTGAATGAATAACACAAGAAAGAACTAGAATGTATGAAACAGATTCAAACAAATATCCAGGACAATAAGAATTTGACTGAAAGCTGGAAAAACCACCTTGAATGAAACAGAAGATAGAATTTCAGACCTTGAAGAAAGCATGGCAGCTAGTGAACACAAAAGGAAACATCTCTTAAAAATAATGAGAAACCAGAAAGTAGCAAAACAACTGCAAGATGATACAAAGAAAAATAATATAAGATTAATAGCCATCAACAAAACAGCTGTAGTTAAAAAAAAAGCCAGCTGGAGTTAACACAAAAGAAGTTAAAAAGAGTGTTTGTAGAAGTAGTAGTAGAAAATTTCCTAAACATGGGAAAAGAATCTGATATAGAGTTAAATGGGGCATATAGAACTCCAGCTAGCCTAATAAAAATAAATCTTCACCCAGACATGTAATAATCAAGATCCTAGAAATTGAGCAAAATAACAAATATTAAAAGCTGTTAGAAAAACAGATAACCTATGATGGAAAGCCCATCAGAATCACAACAGATTTCTCAACACAGACCATCAAATCAAGAAGAGGTAAGAATGAGATATTTGAAATCCTGAAAGAAAACAACTTTCAACCCAGATTGATATATCCTGCAAAACTATCCATTATATTTAGTGGAGAGATTAGATACTTTCATGACAAAGTACAACTGAAGAAATTCATGACAACCAACCCTAGAACCAACCCTACAAAGATTAGTGACAGATACTTTAGAAAAAAACAAAGATGACAACTTCAAAAACAACAGAATAAAACTAACAAGCAGAACAAGTAATTAAGCAAAGGGGAAAGTAGGGATCTTACAGTAGGAAAACATGACAAGGATACCAATACATATCAGTTATAACTATCAACATAAATGGCCTCAATTCACCTATCAAAAGAAGCAGAATGGCAGAGTAGATAGAGAAACAAAGTCCAACAATATTCTGCATACAAGAAACACATTTAACTCATAAAGAAATTAATGGGCAAAATGTCAAAGAACAGAAAACGATACTCCACATTACAGAAACACAGAAAAAAACAAGGGTAACTATTCTAGTTGCTAACAA